GGTTGCTGGGGGGGGGGGGGAAGCCACACGTGTATCAGTGTAAATTTTAGTATATTAAGCTTCTCTCCCAAAAATTCTTCATCTTGAAGAAAACGAAAAGTAGGCATTCCCTGCATGCTTGTGGTTGCAAAGTCTGACAAATGTTAAGCTTTTTTGTTTTAACATATGACATGCATCATACTGCAGACTAAAAAAAAAAAAAACACAAGGGAAACTATTAAGCCTGGTAACTTAAAATACTTCTTCTGCTGTATTTCTTCTGGAAGTGTTTGCTGTCTTTGTCCTAGAGGGCAACTAGAACTAACACCCCTTACAAAGCAGACTTTTTTTTTTTCCCCCAATGGAAGAAATTTTTTCTTAGAGGCTTAAAAAAAAGTACTAGAAAACATGAACTTTCCTGAGCAGTTGAAGGCAGGATGGAAACTGTTAAGTTTAATGCTGAACCGATCTTTCAACAGAGGGCTTGGAGGAGCTTGTGAAACAAAAAGGCTTTATGGATGGTGTATATGCATTTGAATATTATCCATCTACCCCAGGGAAGTATGTGGTTACGATTACATGGGGTGGACACAACATCCCCAAAAGGTGAGTTAGAAGTAGTTTTGTTTGAGGGTGTTTGTGTCCTTCAATAAATTGTGTAATTGGCAGGCTGTTAAAGCAATCCTGACGCTCAGAACTGCTGCGAAGACCAAGTCAGCCGCAAATGTTTGCGGCGACAGTTCGTCTGCAGCCTGTTCTGGGGCCACAGTGGCTTGTACTTGGAGGGCTTTGAAGGGCACTTTGCATCGGTCTCTCTCAAACCCAAATGACAAATATAAAAAATAACTCTTGGTGGCTCGTGCAGCTTAGACTTCACTGTGAGTTTTTGGAGGGATCTGCTCTGTTAGTGTAGAGGGCTACAGCAAGCGGCACAAACCAAATATGTGACACTCAGGATCTGGGTGTTGCAAAAGATACAAGCATGTGGCAGTTTAGATGACCTCTCTGCTAGAAATAGGTCAGTCTGCTGGGCATTGTGCCACCAGAAAACGGCATCTATTAATTTGAGAAATCCAATGTAGAGCCTCATTAAAATGTCTGGGGAAGAATACGAATATGATATTTGTCCTCATTTCTAATCCAAAGCCTTGTTTTTCTCTTGTAGCCCCTTTGAGGTTCAAGTGGGTCATGAAGCGGGTCCTCAGAAAGTACGAGCTTGGGGGCCTGGACTTCATGAAGGGGTTGTGGGTAAATCGGCTGACTTCGTGGTGGAGTCCATTGGTACAGAAGTTGGCTCTCTTGGTATGTTACTTACTCAGGCTGCATGAAACGCTTTAAGTATTGCAGTGCTAGCAACAAACTCATGAGAAACAATAGCTTTCCTAGAATAAAAAACACGTCCTTACATCATTCTGATTTAAACACAAGTTTGTATCTGAGTGAGCAGGGCAGAAGTCTATATCGAAGGCAAGCCCAGGAGAGGGGAGCCCACTTTTTGTGGGGTGGGGTCCAGAATGGAATGACTGATTATTCCCCGAATTGCTGAGGAAGGGATATGGAGAGCTTTGGGTGTGGTTACTTTTTTTTTTTTTTTTGAGAGAGAAGAAAAAAAGGCATTTCAGGGAAGTGGCGTTAGATTAGCAGCCACCACAAACCTAATGTGCAGTTGGTAAATACCTGTTCCTTTTTCAGGCTTTGCTATAGAAGGTCCTTCTCAGGCTAAAATTGAATGTGATGACAAAAATGACGGCTCATGCGATGTGAAGTATTGGCCCAAAGAGCCTGGTGAATATGCTGTTCACATCATGTGTGATGATGAAGACATAAAAGATAGCCCTTACATGGCCTTCATCCGGCCAGCTTCAGGAGACTTCAACCCAGATAAGGTGGCATATAAGAACTCCCTTGTGGTGTAACACATCTTTGATATAACTGTGATTGAGATGTTTTTTACAGCCATTGGTAACACACTTGACTCTCAAGCTGTCTACTTAAAGCTCTGAATTTGAGATGCTTCAGCCAGCTATTACTCAGCTTTTTCTAATAACATTGCTGTGGTTTCCATTAATATAGTAGAAACCTGCTGAATTAGTCAAAATTCTCAACTTTCACGCTAGCCTCTACATGTATCCTGTGTTTCGTGAGTTTTGTGGGAAGGGAGGGTCTTGCTTTAGAAATAAATCACTTAGTTTTACTTTCCGTTCCAAATTGCAAGCTAAGATTCTTGGGGTTTCTTTTAGGTGAAGGCTTATGGACCAGGTTTGGAGAGGAGTGGCTGTATAGTGAACAATCTTGCTGAGTTCACAGTTGAAACCAAGGAAGCTGGGAAAGCTCCTCTGAAGATGTATGCACAGGTAAAAAGCCAAGGGCAGCCATGTGAAACTCCAACAAAAGGATTTTAGTACCATTGAGAAAAATGCCTTAAGTATTTCTACTCAATTACACATCACTTAATTCTGGGCATGTGTAATTCTGTTGCAGTCTTGCTCTTTGATCTGTATCATGTAGTCGGGTAGTGAACTTAACTCAAGACAAGGTGACTTCTCCCTTGAGTATGAAATGCATGGTGTTACTTCCTTACTTGGAGCCCCTTCAGTAAGGCAAGCTGTAATTTCCTGGATTTGTCACTTGGAAACACTCGAAGTCTCTCTGAGCCTGTGAATCTCAGGCTAATCTGTTCCTAAAAGCTACCCCATCTGTGCTGTGGGATGGTGTTAGAAGTGAGTGGTTTAGATGGGGAAGACTTACAGGAGTTCAATTTGCATGTTTCCTCAGTATTTCTGAGTTGCAGTTTAAAAAAAAATTTTTTTTTTTTTGGAAACAGTCTTTGGCTGTTCAAATTATGCAGACACTTTAAAACTACCTGTACCTTCTGCTTGTGTTTACTACTTTTTAGGATGGAGAAGGAAACCCTATTGATATCCAGATAAAGAGCAGGCCTGATGGGGTGTTTGCCTGTTCCTATGTGCCAGTTAAACCAATCAAACACACAATTTCTGTTGTCTGGGGAGGAGCCAATGTGCCCAATAGCCCGTTTAGGGTAAGTACAGAGACAGACGATACTAGTTCTTCTCTCCAAGTATGATGTTCAGAACATCTAAGGCTCAAACTAGTTGTCAGTACAACTAGGGCGATAAAACTCTTCAGTAAACTTCAAGGAAATGTGTCCCTTTTGTTGTCCTTTTTTAAGAATCTAACCGCTTGAAAAGTGACTTTCTGCTTCTACAAGCTCGCCTGTCAGGGGTCTTGTGTCAGTACAGCTGAAGCCTAGGGAAGCCATGGCAGTTCATTCTTACCTTAATTATTTTTTCCTGTAGAAAACATAAGTGTAGCCTCTGTCCAAATAATACGCGGACCTGACTGTGATCTATCATATTACTCAAATATATAATTCTGACTCTTGTGAATCCATGTAGGTCCTTATAGGTCAAGGTAGTCATCCTCAGAAAGTGAAAGTGGTTGGACCTGGCGTGGAGAGAACTGGCCTGAAAGCCAACGAGCCAACTCACTTCACTGTTGACTGCACAGATGCAGGAGAAGGTAAAAGCAGACTTGCTTTGTTGCTGTAGTATCAGAACCCTAGTTCTTGCGTGGGAGGAGTTATATACTATTTGCTGATGCTGGTCTTCCTCTTTCTGTTGAAAATACTTGGGAAGCAGAACATGAAAAATTGAATTGTGATGTGATCTGTTACCCTGATTATCATGGTGACTGGAAATCAAAACGTGATAGCTAATTGTCTTGCAGCATCTGTACCGTTCAGCAGAAAAACTTCCATTTGCTTTTCCTAGGTGATGTCAGTGTTGGAATTAAGTGTGATGCTCGTGTCCTCAGTGATGAGGAAGAAGACATAGACTTTGACATCATCCACAATGCTAATGATACGTTCACAGTGAAGTATGCACCACCAGCTGCTGGGCGCTACACTATTAAAGTGCTTTTTGCAGGAGAGGTGTGTAATCTTTATTTTACGGTCTGTTTCTAGATTCAGTTTCTCAGTTCCTTGATCTCCAAGCACCTGCCACTGAATAGCTGGCTGTTGCTGTTTCAAGGTGGCTCCTTCCGTATCGGCTCAAGTGCACCTTGTCTAGTCACTAGGGACTCTTTCATAGCACTTGAAGGCTCAAAAAATGAGAGGGATTGGCTGGAGGCTCTGAAGTTCAAGCACTTAATGTGTTGGGCTGCCATAATGAGTATGTGGTGTTGGTGATGGCCTATCTACTGTGACTAGAGGTGAAGTAAAGCCGCTTTCTGAAGTGTGGAAGACCTAAGTAACTCTCCAAGGGATATGGGAATGGCAACAAGATGTCCCAAGATGCCTTTTAAAAGAGGGGGAGAGACCCCTGCGAAATAGTCCAGCTGTTAACTTTTTTCAAGGCTTTGAATGTTACTATTCAGTAAGGCAGAGTGGAGCGTTTAAGCAAGGTGAAATTCTACTCAAATGGTGCTGCAGTTAAGAATTAAAGCAGAAGCATCTTAAAGTGAGTGTCTATCTAGTTTAGGCTAGAGGAAAGTGACCAGGTTATGTTTAGAACTGCATTTCTGTTTCAGGAAATTCCTGCCAGCCCTTTCAGAGTTAAAGTGGACCCCTCGCATGATGCAAGCAAAGTGAAAGCTGAAGGACCTGGGCTGAGCAAAACAGGTGAGTGGGAGGTTGCGATGGCGTGCCTAGTGCTGGACCGTGAGGGGCTGTCTTGTGGTGGCTGTTGCGTTGCTGAACGTCGCTGGGATTTTGCAGCACTCATGGTACAGCTGGGTGGGATGGCAGCAGTTGAAAAGGGCTCTGTTCTCTTGGGAATTAGCTTGACCAGGTTTTATAGGTACCAGATGTTTCTTGGGAGGGGTTTCTGTGCATGAGCTCTGCATAAATTAGAATTAACATTTTTCTCCAGGCGTGGAAAATGGCAAGCCAACACACTTCACTGTGTTCACTAAGGGAGCTGGAAAAGCGCCCTTGGATGTACAGTTCAGCAGCCCTGTGCCAGGAGAGGCAGTGACAGACCTGGACATCATTGACAACTATGACTATTCCCACACTGTTAGATACACTCCAGTACAGCAGGTAGGTCTGATTCTCCTGGAGAAATCCAGAGGGAATGGCCCATGTTGCTGTAACTCTGACCTCCCTCCCTGGTATCTGCGTGCAGAGGAACTGGTCCTGTTCCCCAGAAACCCTAACGCAGAGCTGCAGAACGATTCAGATTGGAAACCAATCATCTGGTTAATTTACTGGTAGCTTGTAACTTTACTGTATTTTTCTGAGAACAAGTGAGGTATTAAAGCAGTAACACACGCATGTTGTCATTCTGCACTGGTGATATCTATTAGCTGCCTTATCAGTTGAAGGGGAAAGGTGGCCAACCGTCCTGGGACCTGAAGCAGGGCCAGCTACCACACAGGATAGTCTGGGCGGCAGCTGCCATCCTGCACAGGGTGGTGGTGTGCTGGCTTTTGGCAAACTGTCGTTAGTCAAACGAGCTCCCATGTGAACTGCAACATGGACAAAAAGCACACCGTTCAAGTGATGGTGAAATAACTCCAGAGTGGAAAAACTAACTAGCTAGTGCTGAGGAGGAAAGCCAGGCTGCAGATTAAATGCATCAAAGTATATGTCTATATTTGAGATTTGCCCTCGGGTGGGGAAAAAATTCAGTCCAACTCATTTTGGTTCACAGACAGATGCTTCTCAGCAACACCAATAAAGAGCTATAAGTGGAAGCTGCTAGTAACTAGGAGTATTGAAGTATTTTTCCTTTTGGTGTGGTTACGTGTTTGTAAAGGGGTGTTAAACTCCAGAATGCATGAATCAAATGTATTTCTGAAGACAAGGAGGCAGAAGTGCTGGGATCACAGTGTGTTTCTGTTCTTGTTCCGCTAAACAAATGCGTGAGCTGCTCTGTCACCTGCACTGACTTCCTTGAGTACAGCTAGTTTAAAAAAAAAAAAAAAGTGATATGGAAGAGTGCAGCGTTATTTATCTGATAGCGTTGGAACAGCATTCTTGGATACGCCACTGAGCTAGCACTTACTTTTGGATAAAGCAGTTTCATGATCTGAGAGTGTGGCTGGGGTGCCTCTTTGGAGAAGCTTTTGCTTGTTCAGTCAGGGTTAGTGTGCAAAAGGGAGCAAAGTCAACTGAAGTCCATGTGTGTAGTAGTATCAGATTTGTGCAGGCTTCATGTGAACAGCAGTGGTGAGAGCAACCAGGCCAGAGTTGTAGTCCTCTAGAAAACTCTTTTTTCCTTTGAGACTTGATGTAAAGTGGCATGTGCCCATCTTTTTTTTCTCACCTAGGTCACGAGGTAGTCTCTGCACAGGTTGTCCTTAGGGTTACTGCATCCCATTGCCAGAGCCAGAGATTTTCTTCTTGCTGTCATCACTCGTCGCCTCTGTGGGGGAAATAGTTTCGTTAGTGAGTGGGTTTGGATTTTATTAAGCCATAGACAGACCTGGCTGTCTTTCAAGATCTTTCCTGGGTATATACGAGCAGAGGTTTGACTGCTAGCATGCAGAGCTAGACTGTAGCATTGAGATGCTGTAGAAACAGATCTCGTGCCTGTTCTGCAGGACATTGGGGAGCTGCTTAGTCGATAGCTCTTGAGCAGTAAAGTAACCCACGTTCCCTGGCTCTGGGGTATGTGTGCATGGCTGTATGTGTGTGGTGTTATCCTGCATCTGCCAAAATACCTTGGGTCGTGAAGAAGCTGTAGACTTGCAAGAGATGCTTGCAAGTAGCGGTGGTGGTAGAATAGTGTAAAAGGAGGAGGTGGCACTAGACTGCACGGTAACCAGAACAGCCTTGTTTTTCCTCTAGGTGATGGAGCATGTAGATCATTCCTGATCCCTGTTTTTCTAGAGTTCATGAGCAGTGGCTTACCTAAGTGCAGAACAGATGAGACTCTGGACTCTTCAGAAGGAGTGGGAGGAACTAATAGGTAGTTAAATTCCTGAGGGACGGCGTCAGCAGTCGAAGAACCTTGGTTTAACACTGTTTACTCAGCCTTATCTATTTCACTTGTGGTGTTGCTACAGCTACCCATGTGTATGTTTTCTGAAAACAAGTAAGAATAATCGTGGAAGCTATTCACTAGCTTGTGTGAAACATTCATGATTATTTCACTTGGGAGCTGAACCAGCCAAGAAAGAAAAGTAAGCAAACAGTGAATATAGCTAAAATATGGACTGTGGTAGCAGGGAATAAAAGGAGCACACATCTTGGGCTGGAACTTGCCATGGCTGTGTGGTATTCCAGCCAAAATACACAAGAGCATTAATCTTTCTGACTTGTACAGCTTAAAACCTTGGTATTTCAAACGCTATAATAATGCGGCCTCTTTGCAGGCTTGGATTTGGCATGGCCTCTCCATGCGATGGAATGGGATAGCTGGTCTTCAGCAGTGGGCCGTTCATTCAGCTGTCAGGCCTGGGCTCTGGGAGGGTGGGAACTAACATGAGTCTGAATTTTTGCCAGGCAGTTGAATACGGTCTAATTAAATGTTGGAAAGAACTGTCTTTTTCTCTCTTCCTGCATTAAATAAAAACCATTTAATGCTTTGAAGGGCTGCAGTGGGACAAGAGCTCGAGAGTCCATAGACTAAGTTTGGCTGTGGTCAGCTAAAATGGATTAAGTGAAATGATTATGTAGTGCTTGAATATTAATGCATCTGTGTGAAGTGAAGAACTAAGCTAACGTGTAAATTCCCTAACTAGGGTCCTATGAAGGTTTTGGTGACTTATGGTGGTGATCCTATCCCTAAAAGCCCTTTTACTGTGGGAGTTGCTGCTCCGCTAGACCTAAGCAAAGTTAAAGTTAATGGACTCGAGAACAGTAAGTACATATGGTCTGTAAGACACACAGCCTACCTCTAAAGTCTCTTCTAAATCTATACTGTAGCTGACACGTTCTGCTGGAATATAAGTGGGCAAAAGAAGCTTAGTGTTTTTCTTCCTCCCCCCCCCCTTTTTTTAAACTTATACAATTGGCAACAAACCAGGTCTGTGCAACTTTGTAACATTACTGCTCTGACCTAGCTATTCCTTTTGAGGGCTGAATCTCAATTCAATCTTTTTTTTATTTTTTTAAAGATTATATAGCAATGTGGACATAGCATGTGTTGGCATTTAGTGCCTTGTGGTGAATGGAGCTGGGTTCTTTACCACACCAGGCACCTGCTGATAAAATCTAGTTTCCTAGCGGCTAGGTCACTGCACCATGGAATTTCACTCGTAGTCTCTTCACTTTTGGAAAGCAGAAAAACTTAGAGCTGGAAAATCCTGCTGCATTCCTGAAACAAGTGTCTCTGATACCATCAAGCTATGTCTTATAGGCTTGTTTAGCACTGTAGCTTTATAGTTTCCAGTTAAACAAGGCACTTGGCAACTTGTATGTGGATGTGGTGTGAAGTTTTTTTTTTTCCCCCCCTTTTTTATGTAGAAAGATGCAAACTGAGCAGGGCTCTGCTGGTGCATCTTTCCTCAGAGATATATGCATGAGAGATTTCTTGGAGCATCATCAAACATTGAATACTTAACATAGTAATATGGATTCCTGCTTTTTCAGGAGTGGAGGTAGGGAAGGATCAAGAATTTGTAATTGACACCAAAGGAGCTGGAGGGCAAGGTAAACTGGATGTTAATATTTCCAGCCCTATGAGGAAAGTTGTGCCGTGTTTGGTGGAACCAGTCCTAGGTAAGGAGTGCAGTACTGCAAAATACATCCCGAGGGAAGAAGGGCTGTACATGGTGGACGTGAGTTACGATGGCAATCCAGTCCCAGGAAGCCCATATACTGTGGAGGCCACTCTACCTCCAGATCCCTCCAAGGTGAGTGAGTGGTTTATGGCTGTAAGAGCGACTAATAACTGGAAATTGAATTGCGTGCTCTAGCATGAGACTTGGCTTGTTTTTGGCCGAGCCAGACCCAGGAACATTGTTACTCAGAACTGAGTTGTTCCTTTTGCAGGCTCCATGACTCATGGAAGTCATTCTTAAAGCGCTGTATTTGGACAAAATTTGAACTAATGAAGCACACTGCAAGCAGCCTGTACAGTGTGACAGTATGACCCAAGCAATACTTGTGTATTGCTTCTAATTTGATAAAGTTGGCCTCAGGCGTATCTCAACTGTACTGGTTAAGATAGTTCTTTCTAAAGGAATACATTTCAAGAAAAACTTGTGTGCAACCATCCTCTGTTTAACATTTTTATGTCTTACTTTCTGTGGCTGCATAAAACCAGCTGTGCTGAAAGTATGAATATCCTTGCCTAGAAACTTCTTTGATGAAAAGAGATACCAATTTCACAGTGAAAATTGGAGGGAGTGGGGGAAGAGACTTTGCTTTCTGTGTATTTTTAAGAGCTTCCTAATTAAGTCCCATGTATAAACCAGTCTAACCAGAAGGACTGTGCTGGCAATAGCATGAAAAAAATGAGACCTTTAAGTTTAGCTCAACTACATATCCTCTTCTAGGTAAAAGCTCATGGGCCAGGTCTTCGACGGGGTCTTGTTGGAAAACCAGCAGAATTCACAATAGATACCAAAGGAGCAGGAACTGGAGGCTTGGGTTTGACAGTAGAAGGGCCATGTGAAGCTAAAATTGAATGTTCGGACAACGGTGATGGAACCTGCTCAGTCTCCTATCTGCCTACAAAGCCGGGAGAGTATTTTGTAAACATTCTCTTTGAAGAGGTTCACATTCCTGGTTCGCCTTTTAAAGCAGACATTGAAATGCCATTTGACGCGTCTAAAGTAATTGCTACGGGCCCAGGTCTTGAGCATGGCAAAGTAGGAGAGGCAGGCCTGCTGAATGTTGACTGTACGGAGGCTGGTCCTGGAGACCTGCGGGTGGATATGGCGTCAGATTCTGGTTCGAAAGCTGAAGTCCAGATTGAGGATCACAAAGATGGGACGTATACCGTTACGTACGTGCCGCTCTCGGCTGGAATGTACACAATCAAGATGAGATACGGAGGAGAGCAAGTACCTAAGTTCCCTGCCCGCGTCAAAGTGGAGCCAGCTGTGGACACAAGCAGAGTTAAAGTGTTTGGGCCAGGAGTAGAAGGGAAAGGTGAGAACAACCCAGGTCTGGTTCTCTAAATTTGTAGAACTTAAAGCTCTTTATTCTGTAGAATATTCTGAGCAATAAAGCTGTAACAGCTTTGCGTGTTACCATGGTGACCCTCTGAGATGTTTTTTCGTGTTTTCAAATGAGTTGTTTGTCGAACTGGTTCACAAAATGTTTTGTCTTCTGAAATAGATGTGGTTCTTGAAGTGACTCTTCAAAATGTATTCTGCAGATGTTTTCCGAGAAGCTACAACTGACTTCACTGTAGATGCTCGACCCCTGACGAAGGCTGGCGGTGACCACATCAGAACGCAGATCATGAGCCCGTCTGGCTCTCCGGCAGACTGCCACATCAGAGACAATGCTGATGGAACGTATGCAGTGGAGTACACGCCGTTTGAAAAGGGTAACCTCTGGGTTTTTTACTTGAGGGGAAAACCAAGAAAAAGTAATTCTTCTGATGCTTTGCTTTCATTTGGCAAACCCCTAACATCTGCCAGTGACTTGCTGGCATCTCAAGATTTGTGCCAGCGGAGGAGCTAGTTCTGCAGGAAGCAGCTCTATTTTAACTTCAAGCAACAACTTTTTCTGGTAACATAGCTTCAGAAGAGCAGTACATAAATGGCATCTCAGTTATGAGACTGTGACAAAGCCTCCTGAAAGGCAGGAGAAAGGTCTTACTCATCTACTGGCATCTAAGTCTGTAGAATCTTGTAGAAATGATGTAAGTGATCGGAATATTCGGGGAATTAATTACATCTCTTCTTCCTCCCCTGACAGGTGCACACACAGTCAGCGTAACATATGATGATGTACCTGTGCCAAACAGCCCTTTTAGAGTAAATGTGACCGAGGGCTGCCATCCGTCACGTGTAAGGGCACAAGGACCTGGACTCAAAGAAGCTTTCACCAATCAGCCAAATGCATTTTCAGTTGTCACCAGGTAACTAGGCCTACTTGATCTTTGAGGAATATCTGAGGAGGGAGAGGTGTAGCAGGCAATGCAACACAGGCCATTAAATCCAGGACAAGTGTTTATTAAAAAGCCAAGCTGTGTCCTCTTAATTGCAGTGTATGCTACTTTATTGGGTACTGAGTACTCCTTGCTCTTCAGAGATTACAAGCTGTTTATGGTTGAGGATAACATTCTGGGAAAATAAGATTGAGATTATACTGAACTGCTTTGCATCCCAGAGCACACCAAAGGCCAACAGACATCAGAAGTCGGGTTACTGCGTTTCCGTTAAGGGTTAAAATGCAACCAGACTGTGAGAACTCTGAAGCAATTGTTAGGAACGGGTAATTCTAACGATGTGCATTTCTCTTTTGCAGAGGGGCAGGAATTGGTGGACTTGGAATAACTGTTGAGGGACCTTCAGAATCTAAAATTAGCTGTAAAGATAACAAAGATGGCAGCTGCAGCGCTGAATATGTTCCTTACGTTCCAGGAGACTATGATGTCAATATCACATATGGGGGGGAGCATATTCCTGGTAAGAGCTATTGCTCGGCGGCTTTTGAAAAGGGGGAGGCTGAGCTGAGGACTGGGTGCCTCCTGGAAGTTAGTATTTAGTAGTGGAGCAGCAGGTCTTCAGAATAAGCCTGGCAGAGGTATAGTGGTGTAACTTCTGCAAGCCTTTAAACAGGATAGCTCTGTCTTCTGTAGCTGTTCTTCCTGAAAGCCTGCAGGCGCTCTTTCAGGTTTCTTACTGAGATGCTTGCTCCATTGCATTTCACTCCTGCTGGGGGGATATTGAGATTTTGAAGTTCTGCTTTTCATGGGAATTCAGGCTGAAACACTGGTAATGTTTGTTACTCATACCTGTCGTTGAGAGCTAGCAGGGAAGTATAAAGCACTCTGTAGTGCGGCAGTTTTGAGGAAGTGCCGAAGTCTACTCTCGTTTCTGAAACGGCTTCTGTGGGGACGCGGAGCCTAGTCTACACTGTTACACCTGGTTGAATGCCACGAAAGAGCGTGTACAAACCGGTGGGATAGGGGAAAGGGAAGCTAGCCTCTACAAAAAAAGATATAGAGCCTATGTGTTTGTGGGAGGTGGGAGGGAGCTAGAACTAAGTGATGCATAGTATGTTAGGGTAAGAAAATAGCCCTTTGCTCTGTGGATGCCTTCAAGATCCTGTGATACAGCGATCTAACGGTTGAGCTTGTCATAGGGATTATATTAAACCCTGAAAGTTTTGGTCACTGCAGAAAGAGTAGTGACTGTTTCCAAAAAGAAGCGTTTATCTGATATGCATTTGCATTGCATATTAAGCTGAAGTGAAGTAAGTTTGAGCAGTGTTCTAGTCACATCTGACAGCCAACAGTTTAGAAGTAAAAGGCGTATGTCTTGCTTGAAACCAAGAATTAAAAGCTTGTAAATGCCAGACACATTTTGCTGTAATATTTGAGCGCTTACATGCTGTCATACAGCATATCTAGGTATTCTTTCCTTTATGTTCAGAGTTAGCTGGTTCTTTTCCAGTGGTCCTGTTTTACCCCTGTACTCAGTAAAATGCCAAGGAACTGAATGCTTGCATGACTCCTTGTTTGCAATTTTTTTTTCCCTCTTCTCAAGTGTGAGAAGCAAATGGTTCACAACTGAACCTCTACTCTGTGATCAGAGCAGAAGCAGATTGCTATGTGAAGAGTAAAACTTCATAAAACTTTGGGTTCAGC